AAGGGTTGGAGGCTAGGCTGAGGGTTTGGAGGGAGTTCAGGGAGGCGAAGGCGGCGAAGGGAACGGCTGAAAAGTTGTTGCGGTTGAGGTAGGCCGTTTGGAGGAAGGAGAGTTGGGCGAGCGAGGGGAGGGGGCCCGAGAGTGCATTGTCTTGGAGAGAGAGGGAACGGAGTTGAGAGAGGGAATTGAGATCGGAGGGGAGCGTTCCAGTGAGGGACTTTGAAGCGAGGCTTATGCTGGTGACGCGGTTGGACGAATCGCATTGGATACCCTTCCATTGGCAGAATGGGGTTGTCTGAGACCAACCTGGAGGTGGTGGCTTCAGCGATTTAAGGAAATTGGACATCACCGCGTCATCGGCGGCGGCCACCAAGGTGGTAGTCATCACGACGGAAAGAAAGAAATAAGAGAGCTGAAGTAGGGTGATTGCCATGTAGAGTGCCACGTCAACAAAAAAATGTACAGCTCATCAGTTTTCTTCCAGCTGGGCAGCTGTGCCGTTAGTTTTTTAACGCCGTAACCAAAAAGGACTAACTTGCACCGTTTTTTCGAAAAGTGGGATCTTAGTGAACTTTTGAAAAAAAGTAGGACCAATTTGAACATACCCTACGAAAAGTGGGACCAAAATAGGAATTAAACCTTGCAGACCTTAGGTAGAGTGTTAAAATCTTTAACAACTTTATCCCTTGCCTAGACAGACATTGTTCCGTCAAGTCTTTTATACTGGATTAAAGAATTCTTAAAACATGCTTCAAGTAAATCTAGCATCTTATCAAATACTGACAGAAGCATAAACACAAACATATACTACACATATAATTAATTAATTTATACATATAATGGGACGAAAATCAACATGATAAATGAGTTGTCGTGTTTGATAATTCAATTTCAGGTGTTTCAATCTGGAATGAATGCACTGGTTCTATATATAGTTCTAGGGGACATTGGAAAGCCAACTACAAAATTGGAGAAAGCTGCAGTTCGATACGGAACTTACATATGGGACAATCCGGTGTATGAAACTGTGAAATTTGTTCAGGAGTCTAAGACTGGAAAAATCAGTGATAGAATATATCATTTTGTGGTTTCAACGGTATGAATATTTCTCCCTCTCAGTCATTTATTGTACGTTTTATGCAGGGTTTACCAAAAGCTAGTCCCATTGGGGAGGTTTCTATAAACTTTGCTGATTATGTGGAGACCACAAAGCCCTCCTCTGTTTCTCTTCCCATCAGGATTTCTCATTGTGATGTTGTTTTGCATGTTAGTATTCGGTCTCTTATTTTCTGATTTTTTTCCCCGAGAAAGAGTTGTAGTCCAGAGGTAAAGTTACTTGAAAATTAAGGGAAAAACTAATGAAAAACTTGAGTAAACCATATAAGTCAAAGCAATGTTGATCTAGGTAAATTTCATTTGGTCTTAACAAACAGATATCAATTCAGAGGCTGCAAGAAAACGGTGATCGAAGGTACAAGGGGGGAATTGCCATGTTATTATATATTTTTGCCTTTCAGGTTAAAGACTTTGCCTCAGCTCAGTTTTTGATGATGCAGTTTCTTCTTGTTCGATAACATTCGCAGAGAGGAAGATGAATGTGATGATTCCAAACTGAAATCCGACAATAGGAGCTCAAGGAACCAATTGAACTACGGCGATATGGACGAAACCACATCAAGAATCTGGAAAATCAACTATAGGAACAATTAGAATATTTCACAAATTCTCTGGCTACCATCAAGGCACTTGAAACCCATATCAGAAACAAAATTAAATATAGATAAGTTCAAACAAAATTACCAGATGATTAATGTGTTATATATAAATAAGGTAAATTTGTGTTTCTAAAAAAATACAGTTCAAGCCGTGTATATCTCGAACACGTGGTCGCAGATCTCGAGCGTCTTCTTGAGGGTCTTCTCAACCTAACGCCCTCCTCCACCACGTCCGCATGCTCCCGCCTCCCTCCTCTGTTGCGACAACCCAATGAAATGAACATCACATCTTCAATTAAAAAACACACCGTGCGATTACAACAAGCTGCAACTCAATTAGGAAATTTATGATAAACTATAAACGCTGATTCGCCGGAACCCTTCGTCCGTTCACCAACAGGTCAGGGCAGTATTCTGTTCTACTGAATTTAATCTGGTCCGCGACGAGGAAACCTAATTTGCGGGCTTTGTTTTCTTTAGGAGACAAAGGGGAAATTCGCAGAGTAGAATAGGCTTAGTGAAGTTTAAATAGGGTTTTCAAGGAAGAAGACAGTAATCGAAATTGGTTTTACTATAATTGTGTTTTGGAGCTGCTGTGATGAATTCGTGTTAAATTGGACTATAATTCCTATAATTCTTGTCCGACAGAGTTACCATTCGGCTAGCCCCTCGCAGGATGGGAGGGATAAAGGTAAGTATTTACAAGGTGTGTGTACATAGGTCATCAAACATTACACCCTCAGTCACCTAAAAGAATTAACTTGGTAACAGAGATTAAATCTGACAGTCTGGATGAAAATGAAACAAAATTAAAAAAAAAAAGATTAGACATATAAAAATAGACAGTTGACTTATAAAAATATAATTGAGAGATTAAAAATATATTTAATTCTATTTATAAATATTAACTTAATAGTTATTAAAAAAATATTTTTATTTAAATATATTTTAAAAAATAATAAATAATTTTATATATCTATAGAAACAATAACATAAGTGCACATGTTATCATAAATTTATAAATAAAATATATCCATGGGTATAAATCTGGTTTGAATTGAATCTAATATATTTTTATAATTAAATGCAAATTCACCGATAAAAAATTGATTTTTTAATTTTCGAATTTTGTTAATAATTTTTCTCGTTTTATTAACATTTAAATCACAAGGTGAAACGACGTCGTTTGTGCCAGGGTTTAACCTACGTGCCTGTATGTTTCGGCGCAAAACAGTCACAGAGTAAACAACGCTAGACGTTAGAGTGGCGGGTGCGAAGTGGCGCTCTAACCTCCATCACTCGGCCGTCCTCCGCTGCCGCGTCTATGGCGGAACCTGCTGCGGTTCTGACATTCCAGGACAACGTCAGCCACGAAGCGAAACTGAAGGAACTGCTTCACCGAATCACCTCGCTCGAGATAAAGCTATGCTCCGACGGCGCAAAAGAGTTTACGAAGCTTCTGAAGTCTGTGAACGGCGGCGACATACTCCGAGAGTACGTGCGTGGGTCCCCGAAGTGCTCGGAGCTTCTCGAGGCGTGGAAGCTTCGCGAAGGAAAGCAAGGGATGAACTATGTGTTCGACCTAATCTCCGCGATTTTCAACCACAGTGGAGGTAAGTACAACCCTAGCGACGCGGAGAGTGTGAGCGTGAGCAAAGACTTGGATAAATTTGCGCGGTTATTGATTGCGGAACGGTTGAGTGATATCCACAAGGAGGTGAGCAGCAAGGAGTGGCGCCGGCAGAAGGCGGCGCTATTGCTCCTGGCGTCGATTGTGCGGCGTGGCGCCAGCTTGGCGTCAGAGGTCTCGAAGAGCTTCGATTTTAAGCTGGCGGAGTTCGGGAGGATCGCGTCGGAGCATTGGAGGAAGAGACCAGAGGCGAGGGTAGGGTTGCTGCGGAAGTCGTTTGTTGGATTCGCGGTGTCGTTTTTGGAGGTCGGGAAGCCGGGGCTGTTGCGGTGGATTTTGCAGCAGAGAGAGATGTATTCTGGCGTTCTGAGAGGGTTGGGAAGCGATGATGATGAGACTGTAGTGTTTGTGTTGACGGTGTTGAGAGATAGGGTTCTCGTTGTGGAGTCGTTGGTCCCTCCGGGGCTTCGGAGTGTGTTGTTTGGGAGTGCCACGTTGGAGCAGTTGGTTGAGATTTGTGGAAGGGAGAGTGGTGGTGATGCTGCTGAGGTTGCGTTTGGGGTGCTAGTTAGGGTTTGTACTGATCCGTGTAATGGTTTGATGCCGGATTCGAAAATGCGGTTGAGGGGCAATACTAAGAGGTTATTGGACCTCATGAAGAAGTTGCGGGTGACGGAGGTTCAACATCATAGGGACTTGCTTTTGGCTATTGTTGAGGCCAAGGGTTCTTTTGGGTTGTTGTATTTGAAGGAGTTTCCTTACAACATTGAAAATTTCAAGTCTTCTTCATGGTTAGAATTGTTTACCAGAATTTTGTTGCTGTTATTTATTATGTTTATGTGCATGATTATGAGTAATGTTACCATGATAGCAATATAATAATTGAGTCAAATAGTCTCCCAATATATTAGATTAAAACTGAAAACGAATTAGCCAACCGTTTGATATCTGTGGGACTATCACGGTCTCAATCAATCTCTACATAATACGTTATTGAGTGTTGTTCATCATTTTCCATAAATTAAGTGTTTCACGTAGAGATTGATTGGACCAAGTATGTGTGGTGGTTTGAGATTTCTAATAATTTATCCTATCGGTTAGCATGAGAATTTGGCCAATGATATTTAGAAGAGAGTTAGAAAATGGCGTTGCTAGCTATTCTTTGATATGTACATGTTAATTTTTCATTTTTTTGATGTATATACCCTGTTTACTGATGGTGACTGATATATTTCTCAGGATTCCGGCAATATCTGTGGCAGCTCAATTGGTTTCGTTGGTTGGTAATGGCATTTCTAAGGAATTTGCAAATTTACAATCAAATGGTCCAGGGCTGTTGTTAGATAATATGGATTTACACAGTATTGTGAAGTGCCTGTTTCCTCGTCCATTCAGCAGGCCTGTGTTTAATAAGGGATTGCCTCACACTGAACCTTATGTTAAACATGGTACTCTAAGGCTTCTTCTGGAGTTACTGAAATTGCTGGACTCTCTTTTTGGTGGTTTGAATCATAATTCTAGTTCCAGCAATCCAGTCTTGCAGCATGTGATGTTTATCAAGGATGAAATTCAGAATTATGTTCAGGCTTTTCTTCCTGATCTGCAGGTTTTATTAAACCTACTTTCCTCTTTAGATGCCAGTTCTGAAGCCTGTAACTCAACTTTGAAGAGGGATGCATGCCATGATGAAGATAACAGCAGTAGGAGAAAGAAGTTAAAACTGGACACTTCAGAGAGTGGTGATATAGATATAGTTGTTGCTGGGCTAAGTTCTACTCCTGATATTGATTTGACTGACAACAGTGAAGCAGTTGATATTGGAGTAAGAGCAGATACATTGGATGATGAAGTGTATCTCATGAATATCATAGGGGAAATTTGGGGTGTGGACCTCCATTCCTTAGATATTAGCACATGGACAGACGTGGACTCATACCTACTGTCTAAACTTCTTGATGCTCTCAGATATTACCGTGTATGTTCATTTTTTTATAATCTTATTTTATTCAAGCCATTGGGTGTCACTAATACTGTTAAGTAAACAGAAAAATAGCTCATGATCACTAATACATAGTTCCTTTAGACAATTTTCTGTTCAGCATTTTGCTATTCTGTTGGTATTTGGAGTACTGTGTTGTTTAATTTACTAAATTAAGGATACTTTAACTTATATTTTTGAGTTTTGATGATGGCCTGACCCTCTTGTTTCTTTGATTTTCAAGACTTTTAGCGAGTTTTTCTCTGTGCACTGGGAACTCAATTGCCTCAATGAGATGTATATCATTGCTTGATATATCTCATTCAATACCTTAGAGACAAACTAGTTTTTGCTCTTTTCCCTACCAATTTAATCGTTAGAGCTGTAATGGCACTTGGCACATGCCTCAATCTTTTCAGTTTTTCTAGGAACAATGATATCTTATAACAGTGTATCGTTGAGTGTGTGCCATTTTAGCTCTTGACATCATAGAAGAGACAAATATGATTGATTGTAAACTAGTGGATTTTCCTATGGGTCCAAATTAAAAATTAATGGCAGGGAAAAGCTTTTTCTAATCCAAAAAGATAAAGAAGTCTGGTTGGAAAAGTTATTAATTTCACCATTACTAAGCCAGGTTTGTCCTTTGCAGTTGGTGTTATGAGTCAATTCATGAAAATCGTATCACTTGAATGTTGTCATTCATATTCTAAGATTTCTCTAAAAGGCTCCAGAAAAAGAACTGCCTTATGAAGATTTCTCAAATTTTTGGATATTGTGGCGTTGATTGGGTTGATTTTTCTATGGATAGACTCTCTACTACATGATATTGTGTTTTGCTTGGAGGAAATATTATCTCTCTGAAAAGCAAAAAGCAAAATGTTGTTGTCTGATCATCTACTGAAGCTGAGTTTAGAGCAATGGTATTCTGACCTGTGAGTCTATTTGGGTAAAACAATTTCTACGAGAACTAGATTCTTTTGACATTCAACTGATGAAGTATTATGATAAGCAGTGTGCTCTCCACATTGTTTCCAATCCAGTGTTCATGGAGAACTAAACACATTGAAATAGATTGATATTTTATTCAGGTAAAGTTGTTGTCCAAGGAAATCTGCACCAAGTTTTTCACATGAAATGATGTATTAATAAATTCCTTGAGAGGTCTTTGGATTGAATTTATTTGTTCCAAGTTTGGCATGTACTATGCTCCAACTTGAGGGGGAGTGTCAGGATAAATAGCCTTAAATAGGATTTATTGAAAGGTGCTATGTGCTTTGTGTTGGATCTAGTTCCTAGATGTTTTTGATGCATCTAAAGTTATTATAAATATGAAATCCCAAGAGAGGGAAACACACACACACTCTCTCAAATTCATTCTAATTCCTTTGTATCATCCTTAAGAGTTGTTTTAAATAAATTTCAACTAATAGAAGATTGTGTTTCTAGGTTTTTTATTAGCATTGATTAATTTGATTCATACAAAGTCAAGTGTAAATATAAATTTAGTGCTTAAACTAGGTATGACTTGGACTTTAGTTGTTTACCTTTTTGGTTTTTCCTTTTTCACTTAACTCTAACTGTTGACAAAGTTATATTTTGAGATTGAGTATGCTCTACAACTATAATTCTTGTCATTTTAGAAGTATCTCAATTTCATTGCCTTTTTTTGCCTTCTTTTGGGAAAATTCTATTAAGAACCAAATGCTTTACTCCAGAGTAGTCAGATATGAACGTGTAGCAGAACAGTTGAATTTAAATTGAATTTAAAATAAAACATCATACTGTGTTGTGTGAAATGTACTTGTTGCATCTACGTATGCCTCACTAATTAATGGGTCAGCCTACTGTTTCACTATCCTAATAAAGGAAATGAAATCTGGTGTAATTGTTACTTTCTTTTTGTGTAAATTTATATTTTTCTAGGTTATTCAATTATACATGATGTCATCTTATATTCCTTTTTTCCTCTGCAGCGCTCTCTTCCTTTCACTTTGGATAGTTCTTTTGAAACTTTCAAGAGTCTTCTTAAAAGCCCCATGGAATTAACAAGGCATCTGCAGGTCTCAGTGTTGTCCTTGCTTGCAGAATACATTGAATGGTGTCCTGACAATGAAATTCCTATAAGAACACCACCCATGTTGTACAAATACCTACAACCATTCATTAAGTTGTTAATGTTTTCACCATACAACGAAACAAGGGATTTGGCGTACAGACTGGCCTTGGCAGCTATGTTCAGTACTGGCGGTTTTGATGGGAACCTTCATGAGATAGAAGCATGGTTTTTATTTTTACCAGGTTATAATGGAAGGAAACCCCCTGTCAAAATCTTGGAGGCTGATGCATTGCAGAATTTTACTTTGTTTGTTATATCATTCTTGTGTGATGCTGTTTCTACATTTGGGAATAATTTAGTTAAATATTGGAATATTCTTAAAAGTCATGCCCATATTTTGGAAGACAGTACAGGTGATTAGTTCTATATTCTCATATTTTACTTCTTTGTATATAGTTAACTCTAAAATCGTGTATATCATATGCTGCTTCTTTTCCTTTTTTGTTGTACTGCCTGAGTTTTTAATCTGGTTCTATAAATTCATAGGATCATTATCTTTCTGTAGAGCTATGAAATATGCATATTATCATTTTCTATGGTCACAGTATCTACTAGTTCTTTTTTTGTCATTTCTTTAGAAATGTTAGCATCTGATGTTGCCAAAATTATGGAGAAAGTTTTGGCTCTTCATTGCTGATTTCGTGGTTTCATTTCAGATTTATCACCTCATTTTAGCCCTTTTGTCGTATGTGTGCTGGAGAAGTGTCTAAAGGTGATCCGACCTAAATCAGGATCCTGCTCTGTGCCTAAAAAATCAGTGGTATTATTATACACTTGCAGTACAGTCAGGTATCTCTTGCAAACGCAGGTACATGATTCATCATTGGACATTTTTGCTTACTTTTAGTTTGCAGTTTGTGCACATCTAATGTTAGATCTGTGTTTCTGGTAGGTCAACCCTGAATTGTTATCTGCTTTAGTTCATGCAGACTTGACAGAGAGACTTGGTGGCAGTTATGAATGTGGTGAAGTCTTTCCCCAGTGGAAGCCACTGAAGTATTTATTGGACTTTGTGGAGAGCATATTACACCATCGGAATTATTGCATCTTCTCTAACAATGAAGAATCTGTCCTTCCTGATAGTTCTCTGGGAAGTGCGCTTGGTAGTGTAAATAGATTGTTGAATTGTAGGTCTAGTCATGCAGTTGCTGAAACAACAATATCTTTCATATCCTCCATTATATTGGAAGATGGGGGTAAAATGTTGACAAATATGCCATTGCATGTGGTCATTCCACGTGACTTGGTTGGAGTTCCTTTTTCCCTCTTATTGTCTGTACTTTTTCTGGATTATAGTGTTCTTCACCATGCTACAAAGTTGTGGCCTGCTATGTTTTATGCTGGTTTGGATATGGCCATGTCAAATCTTGGTATTGGTAGTCAAAATGCTGCTCCTGTTGGGAATTCTGATCATAGATTGTATCCAGAGTCTCTGACTTGTAGCCAACTTTTAGATGCTTCTGAAGCTGATGCTGTTACATTTAGTATCTTTCTGAAACAGGCACCTTTTCATGTGATATTTCCTGCAATGATGTGTATGAGTGGTCCTTACATATCAAAGCTATCTAAAATACAAGAGCTGTTACTGCATAAATTATCTGCGTCCATAAATGATTGCTTGCTCCTTCCCAATCTGCAACTCGTGCTGTTCTGGACTCATCGGATTCAGTTATGTTACAAAGTTAACCCAATGGCCGAAATTGAACAACTTCTGAATGTGTGTGTTAAGCTTGTAGGTAGCTTGTTAGTGCAATTGTTGGTCCCAGAAAGTTGTTCTGACTGCTCTATGAACAATTTTTTTTGTTCAAGACATAACATTAAAGAAGTGATTAAAACCATTTTTTTCCATCCCTGTGTTGTGATGTCATTATCTCTTTCGTTGGGATGTTTTCAGAACATTGCAAACAGAAATGTGGAGGACGGTTTCGATATGCTTAATGTAGTATCTGATGAGGGGTTTCACAAATTTGGTAATCCAATTCTAAAGATATTATCAATGACTCTTGATCACATGTGGTCTTTATTTGGTTCCCACCTTTGGGCATCTACAGCTGAAGATGTTGGTAGTTTATTTGTGAAGGAATTTAAAGGCTTTCAACAAAAACTATTTCTGGATGTCAGAGATAGATTTGAATTGTGCATTCGTACTGAAGATGTGATGACTCTCCTTCCAACATTGTGTACTTTACATACTTTGCATCGATTTTTATCACCTTTTGAGCTCCTTGAATTAGTGGATTGGATGTTCAGTAGAGTTGAAGTGAATGATTTACCAATTAAGAAATCGCTGTTATCTGTTGGATGTTCCTTAGCTGCTGATGCTTTCAGTGCTTTGTCCATTTATTTTCAGCAGTCATCTGAAAACAGGGCACCTTATGATTTGTTTTGGGGGATGGATGTAAAGAATATGAAAACTGATATTTTTGAGCAGATTTACATCAAGGTTGTGGATTATTCTCTATGTTTTGAAGTAGATAGTGCTGATAGATGCTTGCATGAAGCTATCAATGCCTTGTATACGCAGAAACATATGCAGCAAGAAACTTTTCATCCTCTGCTGTTGATCATGTGGAAAATTATAATGGTTACTCCATTGAAAATCCTTTCCCATTGCATTTACAAGATAAATGCTAAGAAAGCTATATTTTTGCGTATTCTTACGGAATTGAGTTCCCTGCATTCATTGGTCTTTGGGCATTCATTTTTGGGTATAGTGAATAGAATTTTATATAATGATATCGGTGGGATGGAACATATCTCTGATCTTACTCTTTCAGAAGATCAGTATATACTACTTCTACCGGCCTCTTTGTCATACTTGAGCTTAATTTCCAATAGATTTTGGGGACAGAATCACAAAGATTGCAAACCTATACCTTACTTTTATTCAAAAATTCTCTTGAAAGGTTTCAGTCAATGGAGGAGCTTTTTGTCTAAAGATATATTTGAGGAAGAATATGGGGAATTCTTTCCATCATCTGTTCAAGAACTTCTCTGTCTTATTGATCACAGTCTTCTTGGGAAATCAATTCATATGTTGCAGTATCACTTTGCTCTTAATGGGTATTCAATAAAACTGAAAAAGAGATTAAATTTATTTAAATCCATTTGCCCAAAACTTGCTTCACACGATCACCTGATTGACTGTGAAAGTCAATTTATTGATAATTATTCTCCACGTCAGTCTTTGAATATCATCAATCGTGTTGTTGCAAAGTTATCACTTTGTAAAATATTATTGTTCCATGAAGAAGCAGGTGGGGGTTTGAAAGATGTTTCAGTGAAAATGCAAAGCAAAATAGGAAAATCTAGGATGCATTTTATAAATACTTTGGTGGACATTTGGCAGTTTATTGTGAAGAAATTTTCTTCAGCCTCTGATCAATCTAGAACTGCAAAAGGCACAAATATTTCATTGCTATATAATCTCATGGAAGAGTTTTTGTTGAATAGTATTCTGGAATTGGTTGGGAAAATGGAAAATGATCTTATTCAGTTGCCATCCATTTCCTTCCTTGAGCAATTAATCAGATCTGCTCTTCTCTATAGGTTTGGTGATTTTACAACAATGAAAGCTCTCCGGGTCATATTATCACAGCTTAACGAGGGGAGGCTATCATTTGATTTATATCTTCAGTTGTTGCTTGCACATTCTCAGTTTGCCCCTACTCTCCATTCTATGCACAAACCAGCAGGTTCCTTTTTGAAGCCTGTATCCAGCATTCTTAAGTGTCTTGAGATTCCTTCTCTTGACTATTGTGAAAGTGACCTGAAACAGACAGGGCTAACAACTGTGCTTTCAAGTGGACCATTAGAAATTGTTAGAATGCTACGGATACTCCTACGGATAAAGGATCGCCAAACTGATTCAGATTATAAAAATGATATTGACATAAATTTAAAAGAACTGCATGGACTTCTTCGTCACTCTTATGGTGCAACAATCAGCTGGATTGATATAGGGATATCCAATCTTATGCAACAAATTGAGTCTATGAGTTGCCCGTTATCTCAGAATGTCAAGTTAGATTCAGAAACAATTGAAGAGTGGTACAAAAGCCATCACGGAGACAACTTTCCAATTGACCCTGACATATGTGTGTCAACTGTTCTCTATTTTCCCTCTGATAGAAGTATCTCCGATGAGCAACCATCTGCAAACAAGATTGAACCAGATACTATCAGGAAAAAGGTTTAAGCATGTTTTTGCCTGCCTGAATCTATGTTTCCTGTTTGTAGTTTTGTACTTGTCCTAGTTTATATCTCGTTATGTTTATTAACTTCATTAAATCCCATATAGGTACATTATTCTCATGTTGAAGATAGAGAACGTTATGATCCTGCATTTATATTGCGATTTTCAATTTATAGTCTCTCAAAGGCTTATATAGAGCCAGTGGAGTTTGCTGGGTCAGGGTTGCTTGCAGTAGCATTTGTTAGCATGTCTTCCCTGGACAACGGGATAAGAAGATTAGCTTATGGCACTCTTGATAAATTTAAGAATGCATTGGAGGTTGGTAACAGGTTTATCAGTTTGTGCTTATTTTATCATCTCATAAAATTTAATTTTGGTAATGTGAGATTTTTTTTCTACATCCTCTTCAAAATTGAAGTGATAGCTTACTTTTTTTTGTATATTATTAATACTTCACTTCCATATGTAGAGCTACTTTTTTTTTTTTTTATGGAATCATCTAATCTGGATTTGTGAAAATATGTATGATAACTGTTCATTTCCCTTCAGTTTGTCATGATCCATTTCAAATATTTTGGCCAGAACAACTATGCGAAATATTTGATCCGTTTTTTTACAAGTTGTTTTGCCTACTTCCATGTTTTGTATGTTGACTGTTCAGTTCCCATGGAGCAATTTCTCACGATTCATTTCAAATGTTTTTGGCAAGAAGGATGCTTGATATGTCAGTGTATTTTTGGTGAATTCTTCAGTGTATTACTGTATTTGATCAGTTGAGTAGATAAAAGTATCACTATTTTTATAGGTATTTTGTTCTTTTACATGTGCTTTGGGAATGGGTAATGTTTATAGTGTCTCTTTGTTGTTTTGCCCATGCTACAGTGATAGGTTTCTTGGCAGCAAGAAACCCAAGATACCCTTTGTTAGCACACAGCACACACACAACTCACAGAAACAGTAAACTGTATTGATTTCTGAAGAACAGAAGACAATGTTCGATAGCCACCAAGGAAGCAATTTTTTACACAGGATGTATTATTCCTGTCAAACACTTACAACCAAAAACGTGTTCCCCTTGAGACAGTCTCCCCCCGTTTTATAGCTAACACCTTAACCCAAACATACCTACCCCGACAACCTAACTAACTTTCCCTCCTCCTAACCACCATGTCTTGTTTATAATTCTCTTCCTCCTCATATACCCTTAGGGTCCTATCATATAGTGGGAAAACTTTATTACTGATATGGAAAGTGGTGGAGAGCCTATAATATCAATTAGAAATATGACCAAAATATGGTATATCAGTGGGGAACAACCTTCATTCTACAAAAGATTGAATTAAGTCTAGAACTCAAATTCTAAGATAATATCAAAGCTTATTCTAGTAGTTTTGTTATGTCTATCATGTCACTTGTTATCTAGCCATTATTGGACTACCAATAGATTTCAAATCTTGTAATCCTAATGCTTGAGAATATCTAATCCTGGTACGAAGGAGTATTTGAAAACCTACATTGTCTAAAATTATGACTAAATTATTATATGTAAGTGGAATACAATCCTATTACTAGAAACAGGTTTCATGAGGTTGAGTTGTGCCCACACAAAAAATGATAAGATGACATCCGAGCTTATCCTAGATTCATTAAAGAGTCACTTATATCCACACCCATCACTGTAGGATCTCCAATGGAAAAAAAATTTGACAATTTACTGTTTCTTTTAATTTTGTCCAAGAAGCATGTTGGGAAAGATCATCTAGAGAATCTTGAGACTATAAGTAAGCTTGTGGAAGCCTCTAAGCCATTGCCTAGAATCCCTGGCCTTTGGCAAACCAGGGCCAAAATCAATTTTGTTGTATTATTGGGCTTGGGCATTTTCCAGGGGCTGATCTGTAGCTTCAGTGTTCTCTTAGTGATGCTTTATTGAAGAATACAAAATTATTAAACAGGCTTCTACGGAATTCAAGTTTTATATTGTATTCGTGATTGCTTTTATGTTTTTTCTTTTGTATATATGCATATATTCCTTGTTGAAGGATTATTGTTGATTAACAATAAAAATGTCTTGCAGAAATGCCAAAAGAGGAAGGATGTAATGGGACTTCGACTTCTATTAAATTCTGTTCAAAATAGTATAGACGAGCCATGGCAAAGAATCCCGTCAGTTATTTCTTTATTTGCTGCAGAGGCATCTTGTGTATTGTTAGATCCAGCAAATGATCATTATGCTGCTATAAGTACATTTTTGATACACTCTTCCAAGTTGAATATGAGGGTATGACATAAGTTGTTGAGTTTCTTTCTTTACAGAAAATTTTTGCTTTGTTTTGAAAAGTAATTTAGTTTTATGTTCCATTTGCTTCAATTTTGCAGGTTATCCCTATGTTTGATAACTTCTTATGGAGTACCTCTGTCAATTTTAAAGCAGAGAGGTCTTGGATCCTCCGGCTTTTATGTGTGGGGCTGAACTCTGATGATGATGCCATGATATATATCAGGAACTCTATCCTTGAGACCCTGATGAGCTTTTATGTCTCTCCTCTTTCTGATTTTGAGTCAAAGAACCTGATTATTGAGGTAAACACATTCTTAAAATTTGTTTTATTCTTTCCTATCTGTCTATAGTTGTACTTCAAGTGGTAGTGTTAGAGTATGTTTATATCTCTTTTTGTGGTATGCATTACTGAAAATTACTCAAAGTTGTGTTTCTACTCAACTTGGTTGTTATATTGTGAATCGAATCACAAATTAGGTGCCATTTTTTAATTGTTGAATTGTATTGGTTTAAATCCTTAGTTTTACAATTCATTAGTCAAAGCTCAAAACTTATATTTTTGTTGTGACATTCTGTTAGGTTACTTTATGTGAGTAACCTAAATCTATGCTATCTTCTCACTCAAACACTAGAACAACAGAAATGAAAGTATGTATGTATTATTGATTCTGTAAAGTATAGAAAATTACAAGTGTAATCTCTCCCAAGGAAGCCTATCTTCCTCCACTGGCAAATATGCCGAGTCTATACTCAAAATGAAATAACCTAATGAACAGAAACAAAAGAAGACTATTTATAGTACCATTCAGCCTTTGATCCCATCCTCCTTTCTGGATACCTTTCGGTCTATACTTCCCCATTGCCTTATTGTTTGGTCTCTATTTCCCTCCTCCCTTCTTGATACCGTTCGGTCTATACTTCCCCCTTGCCTTACCGTTCGGCTTCTCCTCTCACACTGTTTGACCTCACTTTCCCTTGCCTTACCGTTCGGTATTAGGTTAATTCCCTCCTCTTTTATTCCTGACATTACTCTACCCCTCAAAATCAACATTGTCCTCAAGGTTGAAGTCAGGGAACTATTATTTGACGTAATGCTCTCCTTCCCAGGTGGTGCCCTCCAATTCAAGTTTGGAGGCTTGGGTGGTGGCAAATCCTCCTCCACTGTCTTCCATTCTTCCTGGATTCTATTTACTTCCAACATTCTGCTCCTCAAACCCCCACCGATGTCTTCCATTCTTCCTGCGCAATCTTCATACTCAGTTGTCTCCAATCTGCTTTAATTTCTCGAAGGGGTGCCAACCAGGTAACTCCTAAAATCACATCCACACCTCCCAACTCACAAAAATAACGTTTATCTCTTATTCCTAATCCCTCCAACCCCACAGGAACTCCTATAAAGCACCCCCTATTCAACTTTTTCTGCCCATCACCTAAACATACATTATAAGCGTGCGTATCCTCACTTTTCAGCCCCAATTCCTCCACCAATCTGGTGGAAATAAGGCTATGGCTCGCCCCACTGTCAATCAACACCAATACCTTTCTCCCTTGCACCCAACCTCGCAGTGTCATTGTTTTAAACTGCGTTACACCACCTGCAGAGAATACAGATAACTCCATGGTCTTTTGTTCGATTTCGGGACCCTCCTCTACCTCCTCTTCTTTGTCTTCCTGTCCTCCGCCCGCGTACAGATCCCTCCGACGATCCCTGATACGTCTCCGTCGGCGTCCCCGAGCTTGAGTTACATCTTTCCCATGTCGTACCTCCTTCCCCCGCGTCTCCACCACCAGTTATAATGCTAGCTCCAAGATTGACAGAGACAGAAAGTGAGGAGTGATCTGGTTTTCCAGATGCTTGCGGCACCAAAATTTCAAACTCCTGGATGTCCTCGTTGACGCCCCCCTCATGTCGCTCCGCTGCCAGCTCCACACAAGTGGTGCCCCGATTTAGTCTGCCTAACCTTCGCGTCAGAGCGTCGGTGAACATCTTCCAAGTCGGATACCTGGTTTTCTTCCGCCAGAAGCGGAACCAATAGCTCGCCAAACCTCTCTCCATGCATCTATAGACGAGCTTCATCTTCTCCTTCTTCGTCACGCTCTGGAGATCGAAGAATTCCTCTGCTGTGCGATCCAGCTCGTGGGATCCACACCTTCAAATGTAGGTAGTTCAACGCGCTTCCTCCAACTGCGACGAACTTCTCCTCTGTCTTCTTCCGATTCCTCCTCCGAGTTTTCCGGCTGTCGTCGTTCGCGTCCAACATTGACGGAATCATGTCTTCCTTCAGATCTCTTATGCTGGTTCCTGGTGCGTCGTCCTGAAGCTCGTTGGAACGCGAGAGTCATCGCTTGCACCTCCGCCTTCATTTCCGCCATTGTCGACTCCATCGCCACCATTCTTCCTTCTAGTGCGTTTAATTTTCCCTCCATCTCACTCCTATCTCTCACAGATCCAACAGGTCGGACCAATTGTTAGGTTACTTTATGCGAGTAACCTAAATCTATGCTCTCTTCTCACTCAAACACTAGAACAACAAAAATGAACGTATGTATGTATGTATTATTGATTTTGTAAAGTATAGAAAATTACAAGTGTAATCTCCTTCAAGGAAGCCTATCTTCCTCCACTGGCAAATATGCCCAGTCTATACTCAAAATGAAATAACCTAATGAATAGAAACAAAAGAAGACTATTTGTAGTGTCGCCTTCTCACGCCCTATCCTTTCTGATAACCCAATCTGCTTCTACTAATTATCGTTCGGTACAAGCGTATATATACCGTTCGGTCTATACTTCTCCATTGCTTTACCGTTCGGCCTCTACTTCCCTCCTCCCTTCTTGATACCGTTCGGTCTATATTTCCCCCTTGCCTTACCGTTCGGCTTCTCCTCTCACACCGTTCGGCCTCACTTCCTCCTACCTTACTGTTCGATATTAGGTTAATTCTGTCCTCTTTTATTCCTAACACATTCGGAGGCTGTTTGTACAGAAGTTTTTATATCATTCTAATTAAGTTGGACACATGCAACTTCCATAAAACGTGTTGAAGTTTGAAGACAATGTATATGTTTATCTAGCAGCTGGGCATTCTAAAAGATGGATGACTTTCTACTATCAAACAAAACTAATGATATTTGGCAAGAAGAAGTTTTGGGGTTTATTAAAGGTGAACCTTAAAGTACTTGTGATCATGGTTATCGAACTCGCTAGTTAACTCAGTAACTCAGTCGAGTTTATAAGTTCACACAGTGCTTTTGAGTTAACTCGTAAGCGAACTCGTTTTTGTTGTAGGATCGGCGGTGAACTCGTTAAACTCTCCTGAAAACGTGAGTCTGGTTTCGATTTTGCGAGTTTGAGAATAAATTTCGAAAACTTCGTTTTTAGGTTTTGTGAGCTTTCGTTCAAGCGCTGATTTAGTTCTCACTATTCATCTTCGTTCTCGCCCGTTAATCTCATCGTTCGATCTCACCCTCTGTCGTGCTCTCCTTTATCAGGTTCGCCCTTCGACGCGCCATCGATCTCAACCTCCGTCGCGTCATCAATCTCGCCCTTTGTTGCGCCATTGATCTCACCGTCCGTTGTGCCTTCGTTCTCATCATTCGATCTCGCCTTCTTTCTCGCCGTTTTCGCTGTTGTCCCGTCAATCTCGTCTTCGAACTGATGGGTTGTGTATGTGTAAACCCTTTGCCATCGAAACTGTTGATGTCTAAATTGATTTTATGTTTTAACAGCAAAGTATTTCACAACACTATTAATGGGTTTCATTTTACAGCACTGCACCATTTATTTAATTTTTCAAAAATAAAGTTCGCTGCACTGTTGAAAAACCCTTGCTGCCACAACATTTTAAGCTCTCACATTTTATTTTTTTATATTTGTAGTGAAATTTTTTATCTCATTGTGTCCATAAACGCATCAAATTCAGTAGAAGTTAATCCAAGTATCTTTCTCAGTTAAAAGTAGAAGTAAAAATGTTTCGAGAAGTGGAGACATATCTAGATTTAAGCACCATCTATGAACTAAATTTTTTTTTTTGTAAAGTAAACTCTTACGAGTTTACGAGTTGACTTTATTAGACTTTCACGAGTTTACGTAAACTCTCGAGTTTGACAACCTCTTGTGATATTTTAGCATAGAGCGTTGCTTCCTCCACCACCACACTATGCTCCATACACCTCCTCAAATTCTTTTGTTTCCAAAACTATCCTTAGGTTAAAGATTAAAACTCTTACTTTTATCACAAATTTTTAATTTATTTTTCAAATCCTAATTTTACCTTCTTCATATTCCCTGAACGCAGTAGCTGTACGCCCACCCCCACACCCATATCAACTCAATCTTCTTCTACCTACTTGTATCCACGTCAGATATGGATTTTTAATTATCTTTTGTTGATGAAGTACGTAAAACTATCACGTATTCGATTATACCTAATAATTATTATTGAATTTTAGTTAATTAATCTTTTAAATTTGAATGATGAAAATCCATATTTGACGTGGATACAAGTAGGTAGAAGAAGATTGAGTTGACATGGGGATGGGGATGCAGCTACTGAATATGAATGAGGTAAAGTTAGGGTTTGAAAAATAAATTAAAAATTCATGGTAAAAGTAAAAAAATTTAACCTTTAACCTAAGGATAGAATTGGAAATAAAAGAATTTGAGGAGGTGGAGGGAGCAACACACTTTAGCACAATGCTGTGGTTACTGTCTAGCTTGTCCAATGTTCTCCCTTTTAGTTTAGTAGGTATTAAAATGAGGGGTCATACCAGAATCACATTATCTGTTAGGTGCTTCTCCTTTAAGAAATGGGCATTCAAGGGCTAAATTGTGCTTGTGCTTATTAAGTTGTTTACCCAAACTCATACTTCATGGTTTGGAGTATGATGAAATACGCTATTTTTCTTGTGAGATTCTTACTGTGACTACTCCCTTGTCCTCTACCAATATAAAGTGAGCCTATTTTATTTACTCTGCAGGTGATAAAGAAATCAGTTAAATCACATAAGATTACCAGTCATCTAGTGAAACACTGTTCCTTATTTTCATGGTTTTCGTCTCTCATCTCAGTTAGTAGACAAAGGCTTAATGGAGATGACAATAAACTTTTCTTGAAACATGTGTTGGTGGCATTGAAGGTAAGCGTTTTATTCTCACACAGTTTGTAATCCCCCTCCCCCCATCATTACCTGCAATTTATTTTGTTTCTCTAATGCTTTCTGTTAACATTTTCCTTTCAAATGTGTTGGGGTTTTCTAAAATTATGACTTGTGAGCCGACATATTTTTTTAGCAAGCCATCGAACATATTGATGAAGAGGATAAAAGAGTAGCAGTTTGACCCTCTAACTTGCAAGATTGCATGGCTGTATTAGTCAAGCACCCTCTAGAAAGCTAGGTTGTATTCAATATTGCTGGAAAGTGAGATTGTGATTTGATGTTCAATCGTGGAATCATAAATCCCAACTGGGTAAAGTAAACCCCACATTTCGTCTTTGTAAACAAATTCCTTACCATTTGCAATTCCTCCAACCTCTGAATGGTGTGCGACTGGACTTCTCCTTTCCAACCGAGAGCCCTGCCTCTCATGACTATTGTTGGGGAGGGTTGTAATGAGATTTGCTAACTTACCTACTTGTCTTTCATAAGAATTGTGTTAAACAAGTTATAACAACGTATTTCTTCAAATATACTCAAGGTGTAATTTTCTTACTCCTTCTAACACAGTAAATGTTAGTTAGCAAATGGTATGGAGTGTGCTAACATGCCCCTACTCATTTTTTGGAATGAGTGAATTAGCAAACTATTACCACAGATTTCTCAAAATATCCAAGGTGTAATGTTAACATACAAGTTAAATAATAGTAATAACAATTTATAAATAATATATTGATAAGAAATTTATATAACAAGTAAAAAGGAGTATAAAATATTATTAAACAGATACATATATTGTTATTTTTCTTGGATAAGCAATGAATTTATTGTTATATAATACAAACTATATGTACATAAAAAAGTAAAAAAATTATTTATTTAATAGTTTAAAAATAAGTACATAAATCAAATTGTTGTAATCTTTGGAACCGCTATAGCATATTTTGGTTGCAGCCCATCTGCTCCACTATGAATATTATTCTCTAACTATGAGCTTGGATTATCCTCAACATAACAAAGGTTATCACCGAAATTGTTCAAAGCTGTATAATGTATTCCTTTGACTGGAAATGATATACTTTACCAATTTGCTTTTATTTAACTCAGATTTCTTTTACTTCACATTTAGTCCAACTATTATTTTCTAGGTTGTCAATGATGTTATTTCATTCGGAAGAATCTCCAAGTGGTTGAAAAATCACGGTCTTGATCAGCTCATGGAACTTTCATCCAATCTATTTAACTTCTTGCTCCATGATGCAACGTTGGCTAATGAAACTTTATTACTAGTTAATCCTTTTCTACAAATGGTTGCTTCAACGTTGAAATTGTCTCAGAAAAGGAAAATATATCGGCCACATTTTACCCTATCAATTGAGGGCTTGTATCAGATGTACCAGACTGGCAGTGTGTATAATAAAGGCAAAAAAAGTATTAAACCGGAGCTTGCTCTTGAAGCCATACTTATGAATTCACCTCATGTTTCCATTTTCTATATGGTACTTTCTTTGACCCATCTCATTAATTTGTTTTTTATTATAAATACTTGATCATCTATGATTCAGTTGTATATTTTAAAATTGTTTGTTCAAAGGCATACAATGAATTCAGTATTGGATTGGTTATGTTTTATATTTTAATTTGACTTTAGCTACACCTATGCAAATGATTTTCATACAGTGTATTGTTTATATATTATGAATTGAAGATGAAAATAATAAATGAAATTCACTTCATGATTCGAAAGTGTTTAAAGTTGTAGAAATGTTATATGATAAGGTTTTTTTATTACACATGCATCGTATATTATAAATTATTCTAGTCTGTCATGCTCCTGTGGAAGAGTTGATTTTCAAAAAACTTTTGGCATTTGTAATCGTTGTGCGTTTTAGATTTTTCTTCTTTATTATAAGACTAAACCTCTAGTTCTTATTAAGTGTATACTTCCTCTATACTGGCTTTTTTTTGGATTCGGTATGAATAACCATCACATTTTTATGTAAACAGAATCAGGAAAGACTTCAAAGCTTTCTTATCTGGGCAACTACAACTGCTTTAAAGTCAGAGTCTGTACGAAGGCTGCAGCTCAAGGAGTATGACTTCTTCAGAAATTATTTAACGGAAGAGTTTCGAGAGAACTCTGTACTTTCAGTACTTCTGCGCTGGTTAACAGCTTCAGTAATCATTGGGAAGCTCCGTAAAAGATCTTATTGCAGAGATTCGGGATTAGCTGAAACACACAACTTTGAATCCCTGAACTCTTTACTGGTGTATGTTGTAAATACCTCCGGGCAAAGAAATGATATTGATATTGGTGCGGAGGAGTTACTAGCTTCAACAATTTTCTATCTCCAACTGCGTCTTGGTGTCAATCATGAAGTGTTACCATCAGTTGTATGTGCTCTCTGTCTTCTGATTTTTGGTGCCTCTGATTTTGCAGGTATGGTACTTCATACATTTAATATAGTTTACTAAAAGCAATTACGGTGATAGGTCAAAATAGACATTTTAGTTAGATGTTTGTATCTGGCCAGATATTGATGCTTTTTATTTCATTCTATAGTTGGCAAAACTGATTTATTGCAAGACTACGACACTTTAATATCATCACACAGTTCAAGGATACGGTGTCCTCCTGAAGTTAATCCAACTTGGAGATGGTAATTTTCTGGGCCTTCTAATTCCTCATACTCAAATGAACTAGGATGTTTATTTTACTACTATTGAAACGAAGTTTAAATGGATTCATAGTATTTATTTATGCTTCATAACTAACCATAGTGGAACCTGATTGTTGTGTAGGTCTTTTTATCTGCCATGGAAGGATCATTCTCTGGAACTCACTGATTCACAGAAGATGGAGGAATATCACGCTTGCCTAACTTTGTTAGTGATTATCTCTAATGTTCTTGGAGGAAAGAAATTAGAGTCGGCTAGTTTATCCCCTGCAGATTTAGAGAGATCTGGCGTATTCCAATAGGAAAGAAGTTTACTAAGAAACTAGTTTGAGTTATTATCTCATTTTTGTAGATTAGGAAATGTACAGAAAGTGTTTAGGAAATGATATATCTGAAAATACAAATTTTGTCAATGGAAAGAAGCTATATGTATTTGATGGTAACATACAAGCTAAATTAAAATTTTGGTCTGATATTTGTTTCAAATTTAGTTTCAAGCTATATGTATTTGACTTGGTGGTGTTTATGAAAAAATAATTTTAAATTGTGAGAAGGTTAGCTTCACACTTTTTATATACTGATTTCAAACAATTTTTTGTTATTGATTGTAGATTATAAGGTTCCATACACTAATTCGTCCCACTGTTGGGCCGTTCGTAATTTCATCTTACTGATTTTAAACTTGTCAATAATAACTTTTATAACTCGTCAATGTTCCATTTATTAAATTAATCATAATACCGTAAGCTGCAAAATGGAAAGAAATAATGACACTGGCTGCTGTTATAAATGCTGATAACTAATTTTAATCTTTTAAAATTTATTTTCGTTTGAAATCATGGGTTTTGTTTGGTGGTTCGGAAATGGTGGTTTTCTTTATAGCATTGAAGTGGGCGATTTGGTGGCTAATATTGTTTGTGTTTAGATTGAAATATAATTGGGTGAATGTGCGTTAAAGTGAGTATAGCCATCTTTTGGAGTTTCATGAAAAGGTTAAAGTTTTTATTTTGTTGGAGTTGTATGGATCAGTCGGTGGAAAAGCATATTAGGTATGAAATGTGTTACAAAACCATCAATTTTAACTAATCACAATTTAACAACCGAGAACCACTCAATGACTAATGTGTTGATTATAAAGAAATTACTTTCTGCTTCTAAGAATCGGAAAAGAAAATCTTTTAATTTATCTTATTATAGTTTGCTTTTTATATTTTAAAGGAATTATTGTGGTAATTTATCCCTTAAAGTTAGTTTATTATTTTTTTTCTAAGATAGTCATCGTATTTTTTTCATAATTTATCCAGTTTGTTTATTATTTTTTATTGATGCAATTTTAACTTTGTAGTTAATTGATTAGCAGTTTACAGTAAAATCAAAAGTTGTATCACGAGTGATTAGCAATTGACCTGTTCAACACTAGAGCATTTTAACACACATACAAGGCTTTTCATGTCAGTAAGGTTGTTGGGAATTAGGATCTTTGTCAAATAGGTGGTTGTGATAGAGAATGTGAAGAGAGTAGGTCGTTCCTTTTATCTGATAAGTGAATTTTTGAGGACGACAATTTTTCTTGTTGAGAAGAATGTAAAACCCCAGAAAATAGTATTTTAGAAAATGGTATTTTAGAAGTGGTAGTGGTTTAAAAATAGTGAGACTTGATTATTTTAATATTAAATGATTTATTTATAAATAGTTTTATTATAAACGAATTTCATTATTTTAAAACGTATCATGTCTCTAGAAACCACTTTTCTAGAGTTCTCTACCTTCTCTCTAAGTGTTCTTGCTCCTAAGTTATCTGTTTGACGATCAGGAGGTGTTTAATTGATCACGGCGTCAAGATATACAAATCTAGTTGATCAATTTCAAGAATAGAGTAAGTTTCGACTCCTTTTTTCTCTTACGTTCCTAATATATTTTTAGAATAATATTGTACTATTGCATGTGTAATCATGCTTCTCCTAGTCATTCTTGATTCATCGAGAGTTCTATAGACTCTGTCCATTTCTAATTTGGTGTCTCATAGGTTTGTCTAGAGATTCCTTGCATTTCAAGCAAGCGACGAAACGTTTCTTTGAGTTGGACAGTTTATTGCAAGGTAAGGGAAGCTAGATTTGTCTTAAATTATGTTTGCTTATATTAAAGTAGAATCTATAAGAATAATATGATGTATTGGATGAAATTGTAATGGTAGTATAGAATTTGATAGGTATAAATAATGATAGTTGGTATTATGAAGTGTTTGTGATTGTAATAATGCGAAATTGATGTTCTATGTTGGTATGAATATGTGTGTTGAAGTTGTGTTGTTGTTTGAAACTGAATTCAAAATGATTGTGATGAGAAATGGTGAAATTCTTTGGTTTTATGCCTAAAATGGGGGTTTGAAGGTGAGTTTAAGAATTTGGAGTTGATGTGAGAAAACTATTGTCTAGGTGCTATCATGAGGTGATTTGGGACTTGTTAGAAAGACTAGATGGTTGAAAACTGTTTTGTCGCAAAAGGAGAGTTTCTAGTTAAAGTTTTCAAGTGTTTTTGGTGTAAAAAAGGGGTTTTGAGTAGTGATATTTTGGAGTAGTGAGTGTAAAATGTTTTAGAAGGTTGGAGGTCTATTGTTATACTTATTAGGACTTGTTTAGGTGCTAAAACCAGTAAAATCTGTCAAGTGTTAATGGCTTCATAAGTTGAGTTTTAGTCCATTTTAAAGGTTTTAAGGGTTGGAAATGGAAAGTAGGATAGCTAGGATGAAAGTGAGGTTTTGGAGAGTGCTAGCAAGTGTATTTAGACTTGTTTATGCAGGTTGTAAACTGGTTTGAAGGTTTAAAAATGTAGAATTGAAATTGAGTAGCTTGTAGGAGTGAATTTTGGTTTTAAAGTGTCAAATTGAGTTACAATAGTGTTTTCAGAGTTTTCTCAGGGTCTGAAGGATCCTAGAGGCCTTTAGAAGTTGGGGGTAAAGTGTTCAAAGTAAGAAAATTGAGTTTGGTACCTATTGATTGCGTTGAGAGCCCAAATAGGGTGTTCAGCGCCAGCCCTTAGGCGCCACTAGGCTGCACTCCAACAGTTTTTGAGAGTTTTCGGGGTTTTAGTTATCAACTTTTGACGTTCTTTAGGTCGTTTTGGAGGTTTAGGACCATTCCGGAGTTGTTGATGATGGTTTCAGAGTTGTTTTCCTTACCTGAAAATGAGTATCAAGATGCCATGAAGAAATTGTGTTATTGTGTGATTTATGATGACTTGTATGGGTGTGTCTATTTCATTAATGTATGATCAATAGTCTCTCATGTATGTGTCTATGACATTCTAATGGTCACCCATTCTCAAGTAGAGAGGGGTGAGGCATGTCATAGTCTAGGGGCTTTACATTGGCCTAAGACGAGTGATAACGAGCTAACCTTTTGTGGTAGCTTGGGGTGGGCCAGTTGTTTCACCACAACAAGTGCACGAATTGTCATAGTCTCAAGATGCCATGAAGAAATTGTTTTATTGTGTGATTTATGATGACTTGTATGGGTGTGTCTATTTCTTTAATGTATGATCAATAGTCTCATATATTGGTGTAGTATGTGAATGGAAGGTGATTTCAATGGTTTCAAAGGTATGGAAGAGAGTTCCAAGGAGGAACTTCTCAGTGGTGGTTTCAAGTGTTATAAGTGAATATGGGAAGCTTAGTCTTGGAGTTCATCTTAACATTCTAATGGTCACCCATTCTCAAGTAGAGAGAGGTGAGGCATGTCATAAGAATAGCAGGAGGTCATAGTCTAGGGGCTTTACATTGGCCTAAGGCGAGTGATAACGAGCTAACCTTTTTTGGTAGCTAAGGGTGGGCCAGTTGTTTCACCACAACAAGTGCACGAATTGTCATAGCTCGATATTCATACTAATTTGGATAGTCAAGTCAAAGGGTTGTCATGCATAAAGTATTTGGTTGATGTGGTGTGAGATATGTATCATTAAGTAAAATGTTTAATATGTTTTGATGTATTATGAAAATGTTTGTATCACTAGCTTACACTTACTGTTGTCTTTGTTTGTTTGTGTTTTCTCTTTTGCGATAATAACCTTAACGCTGTGTTCGTTTCTATGGATGATACTGTTCAAGAGAAATAGCGACGATGGACTTGCGAATAACTTTGTGTTCGTTTCTTGTGATTTGAGACGATGGAATTGGAGGGATTTGCGAGAAACATGGGTTTTCAAATTTTCACTCAAGTGCTCAGATTTGCGATGATTTTAATTAAAATGTCATGTTTGTCCTCCATCATTTCTGAAATACCATGTATAAAATGATGGGTGAAGACGAAGACAGTAGTGATTGAAGAACAAAAATAAAATTAATTTTGGCATGGTGTATTCTATTACAGAATATCAGTATTCGGTTCCCTTCAACAAAGAAAAATTCAACGCTGGTGTATTCGGTTCCAAGATTGGGTATTCGGTTCCCCTTGGTGATGCATCAAATGCGTATCCGGTTCCGCACCAGGTGTAGCTCCCTCCCCTTCCTCGCACCTGCTTAATGAAACACCACCACAATGTTGGGGCGACTCCTCGCGGCGAGGCTCCCTCTTTGCAGCCTTGGGCTTGGCTGGTTGCGACCCTGAATAGAGGCGTGCAATGCGCGAGAGGGGCGATTCTTGGTGGGTGCGGGAGGAGCAGCATCGGCGGTGGCTGTAGCGGCGGTGTTGGTGGTTGCTTCGTCCTTGTGCGAATTGGGTTCCGACAAGGGTTCTTTGTTGTCTTGCAAGGGAGATCCTTGGGACATGGTGTGAGAGAGAGATCAAAAGGGTTTTAGGTTAGGTATGGTGGGATTATGTGTAGAGGATCATGGTTGGGCTAGCATTGAAGACAGAAAATCAAAGTGAAGAATGACGGGTTGTAGAGAGAGAACCGAAGAAGGGCACTTTCTTTTTTAGAGAGAGAAACAATGAATGTTTGAAAAAAAAATTGGAATAGTGTTTTTTTTTTAAATGGACCAAAGAGAGGGACACAAACCCTCAAATTGAAAGAGAGAGATATATTACAAATAATAATAATAATAATAATAATACCTAGGGGCATTTTGGTAATCTTTAATTTCTACCAATTAAACAAATTTTTTAAATCCGTCAGATCAATCAAATCCTACACTAATTCTCACAAACTTTACTTCCAAATCCACTTTCAATTACCCACAAATCTACTCAAAAAAACAACAAAAATATTACCCTCAAATCCATTCAATTACTCTCCCCCAAATCATCTCCCACAAATCACCTCAACCGAACACACCCTAAATGGTGTGAGCTTAGGGAGGACGTCTTTCCAATCGTTTAGTGTGAGGTTAAGAATGAAACAACAACACATAAAGTTTTGTTCTTCAAGTGTAGGATCTTCTTCATTGGTAGTCGGTAGTTTCTAATGAGTTAAAATGTATGTTTTATTTTGATAGTTTTGTTCTACTAAAATGGGATGATACAATAGAAATATGAATGTG